CCCCCCTCCACAGCAGCAATAAAAGCTTGGCACTAGTATATATTTTCAGAGATATATGCATACTAAAGTAACTGAGGAGTAGTTAGTGGCACACTCATAGTAGCTTCTGCAGGGCCTGCATGATGTCAATGTGCAACAGGGCATAACCCTGTTTACTCCGTGTGACAAAGAATATGGTGACACCAAGCTGTGCATTTCCTTCACATAGTCCTAGTGAGTGTTTGGATACAGTAGATTTAATATTATTTAAAATCCTAATATTGATGATTTTTTGCATCTGCTGTTGATTTTGGCAGAGAGTTGTAAACAAATTCCTTGCCTGAATTGCTCATAGGCAAATACTGCATGCTTTAATGAGAGTTCTTAATCTAACTTGTCACTCTGTTTACATCAAACAGTTTCTCCCTGGCCCTTTATCTAATTTTCTTCATCTCTGATGGTTCTGTTCCTTCTTATTCTCTTCACAATCCCTTTATCTTTTCTTCAAGGATGTGCAACTGGAAAGTGTTTATTTTGACAATATTAGTCAGTGATGTCTCCGCAGATGAGTAATGCCTTCGGTGCACATCCAGTGATGCTGCTACAATAGAAGCCTTATCAGAAGGGTGAATTTGGCCCTTTGGCTTTTCAGTAGAGTAAATTAACACATTAAAAGGTAGCAGATAAAAAAGCTTGCCTAAAATATAATCAGAATTTTTCTCAGTAAACATCCGGTAACCAGAGTTCCCAACCCATTGGTTGCAAATCAATGAGCAGAACTGTCCACGAGCCTGGAGGCAGACTGTTAGACAGATTCCCTTTGTAGTGCTGCCTTATTTTTGCTTTTTCAAAAGGTTGAAAGTGATTTTTGTGAGCTGAAATGTGTTGCTGCCCTAAAAGAGAGTTTATTTTTCAGAAGCTAGACAGCACTCCACTCCTTTTGTAGGATAATACGCAGCACATAAAATAGTAATGTCATAGGCCATTGTTACACATTCTGATGCTAAGAAGTCTGCGAATGGTTTTGTAATAATTACTGGGCAAATCTCTGGCCATTCAAGTTGCCTTACAATGGTGCTGGAGTTCCCAGCTGGCTGTCCTCGTGAGGTACTAGAACTGAAGGAACTTTAGTGAAAAGGGCTCTGTAATAAAATCTGGTAGCCGCATGATCGAAAAACATTATTACGGAGTCAGATGACACCACTGAGTGTTATCAGTCATGGTGAGCCAAGGCCATCAATTCAAACTCTCTGGGTTTTTGCTCCCTTTTAATGAACAAAAGGAGGGGCTTTCAACAAGCAGAGATGCCAGTGAGGTCTCTAGAAGTACTAAGTGCTAGACCTACTTTCTACCTATAAAAATCTTACCTCTACCCAAGTGCTGCCCATTAAAAAAGAAGGAAATCAATCCTGACCTTAGTATAGCAAATCACACCCAGTTCTTGTAGCTTAACTTCTTACAAATTTTATTATGAATTTATTAGTGATTTCACATAAGGCTACACCAAGGACTGGATGTGACACAGCAAACGAGTTGCCCTGAAGAGATGATGACTCTAGACCAGTATCAGAATATTTTGTCTGTGATTATTTTAGTAGGATAGGACAGCGGGTTGCCTGGTGTTTTGGGGAGAGCGTTTCTCCTGATGTGTGGCAGATGTCAGAATAATTTGGGTTTGATCCTGTTGTGTTCTAACTAGTTCCCCTATACTATCCCACTGCTCTCCTAAAACATCATTTGCAAGATTTTTCCTGGGTTTAGAGAAGCGTGTGCTCACCAATAAAATATCTTCCCTTGGCAAATTAAGGACAGCACGTGTGATAAAACAGTAGTCACCTTTATTAGAAATATGGGTTGATGACTCTTGGATTTCTCTAAAGGCCTCATTTTTATTACTAGAAGAAAGTAATTTTATATATATAAATCTTGCACTAGAATTAACCCAACTGTAGGTGCAGGCTTCTCTTGTATGTGCTACTTAATGAAAACGGGTTTCTGTTGTTCTTCACGTACGAAATGCACCTTCCAGGGTTCTGCTGTGTAAGTGTTTGTGATTAATTACATAGGTATTTTTCAGTTCTTTCTGTTGCTCGCCAAGGAACTAAGAAAAAAGATTTGCACAACTATCTCGATGTTTTGGTATTTTGCTATGAACTATAGCTCAGTAGCTGATACTCACAAATGCCTGTATATTGGATGAAAATGCATTAAAACTTCTTTTATATGTTGTATTTTATTTAACTGCCTAGAAATTTTAGATTCCCCTTTTAGTAAGGGGT